TACAGTATATCCTAATCTTAATCTCATGTACACTTCTGTGTAGACTTTACCCTACCATATGTGAAGGACGAGTTTGTGTTTATTAGTCCTTAATGCTTAAGTGTATTACGGCTGACCAGTGAGTAGTGTCGACCAGAGTACTGGGGGGAGAGTGTCGACCAGAGTACTGGGGGGAGAGTGTCGACCAGAGTACTGGGGGGAGAGTGTCGACCAGAGTACTGGGGGGAGAGTGTCGACCAGAGTACTGGGGGGAGAGTGTCGACCAGAGTACTGGGGAAGCGTGTCGACCAGAGTACTGGGGGAAGCTTGTCGACCAGAGTACTGGGGGAAGCGTGTCGACCAGCACTGGGTAGTGAGAGTGGCTCAACTCTCCCCTCTCTGGATTCATTGTGACCAGCAGTGCATCAAGACTGTAAGAGGGGGCAGCACAAAGACCTTTTTCCACTTCTCTGCTCCCCCCTTGCCCCCCCCCCCATCCCTCATTCTCCCCTATTTCCTGCTGTAACAATTTTAATACTCATAATGTGTAAATTGGGTTACTGTTTGTCCGTTAAAGAAAATTCTGAACAAAGTCAATATGAAACTAACGATTACATTGATAATAGTAAAACAATACCATTTATAATAAAAAATAATAGTGAACCTGTCCTCAGGAAGGAAATACGCTCTAGGGAATGGATTGATAACGACTACGTAATTAGTGTTATTATCTACTCTCTATCCGGGGTTAGGTTAAGGTTCCTAAGGGGTCCCTGGATGGGGTTCTGGGAGTTATTCTACTCCCCAAGCCCTGCCCGAGGCCAGGCGTGACTTGTGAGAGCTTGGGCCAACAGACTGTTCCTTGGTGCGGCCTGTAGACCGCTCGACAGGCTGAGTTTCAAGAATCATGTGAGGTTTCCTCTGAAAAAAATCTTATTGATAAGTAGCATAATAATTGACAGGAGGGTCTCGATTCTCCTTGGCCTCTTTTTGTACTCTCGAACTCTTCAATGTGACTATCTTGTACATTTTGCTGATCCATCTCGCTCTCACAAGGTATTATTTCAGTGTCCATATTAGGAACAGATGACAAGAGTATTTGCACATTCTTCAGGGGCCAGATTCACGAAAGCACTTACGTAAACACGAACCTGTACATCTTTTCTGAATCTTTGGCGGCTTTGTTTACAATTATTAAACAGTTAATGAACTCCGAAGCACCAGGAGGCTGTCTATAACAATAACAACAGTTGATTGGGAAGTTTTCATGCTTGTAAACTGTTTAATAAATGTAACCAAAGCCGTCAAAGATTGAGGAAAGATGTACACATTCGTAAATACTTGCGTAAGTGCTTTCGTGAATTTGGCCCAGGTCAGCAGTCTCCCCTGCCTTAAACTAAGTTATTGGTATGTAGCAATATTCTAGCTTAGAGCATGCACGTGCCTTACAAGAGTATCGTGCTTGGCTTGGCATGACTTACTTGGAGTCATCTGGTGGGTGGGAAGGAGAATGTGTGAGCTGACGATTAAGCCGGTGACGACGACCGGCTTAATCGGCTTCGGCTTCGTTTGCTCAATCTCGCACTCACCCGCTGGGAAATGGCAGATACGTGGGTGGGGGACTGGGATTGGTAAGCGAGGCTTTCCCTGCTGGGAAGCAACTCAAACAACAATGCATGCTCCACTGACCTACTCGTTTCACCGTTTCCGGTTATCATATTCCATGGCGTTATGTATTACTTGCAGTGTGTTCAGTTTTCGCGCGTGTTACCGTAGATTGGTGGTTTGTAGTGGTTCATAAATTATGTTGTTCAAATAGTGCGAGAAGGGAAAGGTCATCCTTGACTGACCCACAACAAGATAAGGTACTCGTATTAGCGACAAATGAGTCAAAACGTTTGTATTCATATATTGAATACATTCATATTGAACATGCCGTTGTATTGTAATACCAGTTGACATGCCGTTGTATTGTAATACCAGTTGACATGCCGTTGTATTGTAATACCAGTTGACTTGAACAATTTGTTTATAGGTTATTCTTAACATTCGTAAATTGACCAGCTCTTTTGGAGTATAACATTCTTGTTGCATTATGCCGTGTAACAAGCACAAGGCATGTTATAGACAGGTTACTTTATATTGATACTTGGTTTATACGCGATAACAGATTGACGTTATTAACAATAGCGTAAACAGTCTTTTGCGGCTTTTCTGATTATAACATGTCTTTGAATTAAATTGTTAATGGCAGTTTGTCTTGCATCAATAACGAGAGGTCGTGTAGCAAGAGCTTCTTAGTCAGTTAACGCCAGGTGAGCACCACACTAGCCTAGCCTAGTGCTGCTTGCTTGTCCACCTGTCATTGTGGCGCCACCGCTGCTGCTGCTGCTGCCCTCCACCATGGGGTTTCTGCCTTGCTGGCTCTGTAACTATCTGAGCATAGATAGTGTGGGCTGTAGGGCACGTCAGTGTACTCTACATACCTCTCGGAACAGTAAATATTTTGAGAGTGAGTAGAGGTACCATTATTGCCTTATACACCAGCAACATTCGTGTAGGCTCGTAGCCTAGGCGTTACTGATTAACTTAATCGTCCCAAGACAGTTCATTAGTTCCTGTTGTGTATATATATAATATAAAATATTTAACTTTTGCATGTTATCTCTGTTCAGTATAAGTCTGTTGTGCAAACATGAGAATACAATTAATTAATATTAAAAACGTAACGCTGATAACCATTTCAACATCAATTTGTAATCCCGTTTAAGGTTACTACCACCACCACTACGTTTTGGAGATCGTGTACATAATTTGTTACCATTCCTGCATAATAGAAGGGCATATTTTGGCCGATGTGTCATGTTTTATGGTGTATATATTGTCTGCTGTATAATAAATATATTTACAGTAAACTTTTTCATTCAAACTAATCAGGACGAAGATTGTGGTTTTTGTAGTTTATTTTGCTAAAAATTGAAATCTAATTTTCATCATAAAAAATTGTAGACATTATATATTCTGATAATATTTTCTCCTGTATAAACCATTTTGATGAAAATAGTATATTAACTATTATTGGTTATGACGTCCTACAAAGTGAGGGATTTAATTATCGCTAAACCCAAGATAACACTGACTAATATGTTGGTTTATAGCTGTGGGCTCGCTATATACGGGCATCCTCTTTATTGCTTGAGGGGAGTGGTTCGTGGTGAAGAGTTCGAGTGAGTGAATGAGGCGTCAAGGTGGTGTCATTAACAGAGCCATTGTTATTTGCTCCATTTTTAATGGAATAGTTTTTGTCGCTTTACTGGTTGGTAATAGATTAAGATGCATTTTTGCACATCACTGGAGAATGGTATTGTTAAGTAAGCTTTTTTTATGCACCGGAATTGTTATTTCATGGTAAAAACGCGACCAAACTAAAAGTATGTTAATTACTGAAAGTGAACACGTATTTTTGTATTAATATGGGTATGTCTGCGTTTATACAGCCACCTAGTGGCTCGTCAGATGGTAGCCACGAACTCTGTGCCAGGCCTCTGCTCCTCTGGGTAAACATAGTTGAATTTGCTAAGAGGTTAGCACCATATCTTGAGATGGTTCAGAAGATCAGTGACTCCGGTCCGCGGCCTGGTTTATGACGAAGGTCGCCTGCTTAATTAGCCTGGTTTACCAGGCTGTTTGAGGTTTACCACATTACAGTCAGTCAACATATTACTGAACATTACCAGGCTGTTTGAGGTTTACCATATTACAGTCAGTCAACATATTACTGAACATTACCAGGCTGTTTGAGGTTTACCATATTACAGTCAGTCAACATATTACTGAACATTACCAGGCTGTTTGAGGTTTACCATATTACAGTCAGTCAACATATTACTGAACATTACCAGGCTGTTTGAGGTTTACCATATTACAGTCAGTCAACATATTACTGAACATTACCAGGCTGTTTGAGGTTTACCATATTACAATCAATCAACATATTACTGAACATTCTGAGTGATAAACACGTACATTTCTTCCTTTACACATGCAGTATGTTATCAGACGTACACACACAGATACTTTTATGACTAAAATACATAGACATAATTTGCAATAAACAATCGGTCAATTCAGCGAAGTTAGAATCTTTGTGCAAAATTCTTGTATCTCTCCAGAATCCCCATCCAGATACAACCATGGTATGGCACGATTTAAATCAGGCTGCCAAAAAATCTGAGGACATTAGAGTTGAAGACATCGCCTTTTTCATTTTCTTATTCATTGTCTTATTATCTCCATTCAGAGCAACTCTTTATCATTTTTTTCAGGTATTGATCTCCGTGTTATTTTTATCGCATTTTTGTATATTGATGATATCGGTCGTTTGTTGAAATTTTCCTTGTTCCTTTGTTGCCAGTATAGTACACTACTTGAATCTAGTAGCATTGTGATGGTAGTGTAGCACTGATTCTTAAATAGTTCCATTTGAAATGTATACTGATCTAAAATCCCCTCATTGTAGGACTTTTCACCTTCCTATACTGGCCTCGTTATTAGCCAGTGGTTAAATTATATATAATATATATATATATATATATATATATATATATATATATATATATATATATATATATATATATATATATATATATATATATATATATATATATATATATATATATATATATATATATATATATATATATATATATATATATATATATATATATATATATATATATATATATATATATATATATATATATATATATATATATATATATATATATATATATACGCAATAAGTTGTATTTAAGCTATAATGCAAGAGATGTAAAGGTAGATTATATATATGTATATTTTAACCTGTGTAATACAAGAATAAACATTTCAGTCAAGGTATTTGTTAATGTGTCTACCTACTTTGCAGCATTAAGATCGATAGGAGATTGATACTTATTGATACTTAATATTGATACTTTGTAAGAAAAGGTTTGGTTTATCATAAGACTTTTGCATTTTAGAGTTGCGGTCGCAGTTGAACGAGCAGCTGCGAGCGCTTGACGGGCGGGTGGACACCCAGACGGCGTTGGTGAATGAGCTTCAAGACTGGTTTAGGCGGCGGGCCGAGCTCCACCAAGACTATGCCACCAAGCTCGATAAGTTGGCCAAGTCTCTCCAAGCCAGGCATAAGGAACAGAGGGTCAAGTAAGTACGGTTCTCCTCGGGGGTCTGATATTGATGTGTAGGTAGGTGTTCATTCAAGTTCTGTACACTAATGCCAATTTTGTTACTACTTACAGGTGCTTAAGATTTTAATATGTTGTAGCGTGGATGACGTTTTGTTTTTTGATATGTAATTGTTATAAAAACTAAGCCTGGGCCAGGCCTAAGTTAGCCAGATTTGGGGAATACTCTAGATGTCACATTTATGAAGAATTCATTTAGATTGTCTATCTTCAGCATGTTTCCGGGATCACTGAAAGCAGTCACATTGTGTCCTAAGTATTTCACTCATTTCTCAGTTGTCATCAGTGAAAGTGTCATGTCCCTTGCATGAGGGATGGACGGACACTCGCACTCACTCTCTCACAATCTCACACTCTCATTCACTCACTCACTCTCATTCACTCACTCACTCTCATTCACTCACTCACTCACTCTCACTCTCTCACTCTCACACTCACTCTCACTCACTCACTCTCTCTCACTCTCTCACACTCTCACACTCACTCTCACTCTCTCTCACTCTCACACTCTCACTCTCACTCACTCTCTCTCACTCTCTCTCACTCTCTCTCACTCTCTCACACTCTCTCACACTCTCACTCACACTCACTCACTCTCTCTCACTCTCACACTCTCATTCACTCTCTCACACTCTCTTTCACTCTCTCACACTCTCATTCACTCTCTCACACTCTCACTCACTCTCTCTCACTCTCTCACTCTCTCTCTCTCTCACTCTCTCTCACTCTCTCACTCTCTCTCTCTCTCTCTCACTCTCTCTCACTCTCTCTCTCTCACTCTCACACACTCACTCTCACACTCTCTCACACTCACACTCTCACTCACTCACTGTCTCGCTCTTACTGTCTCATCCTCACTCACCCTCACTCTCTCACTCTCACTCCCCTTTTTTTCTTCTGTTCTCTCTCCCCCCCCCCCCCCATCACTAAAGTGTTACTGTGCCTATTTTTTTGAGGCAATGACTAAGATTTTAATTATTTGACTATTCTTACTATTCTATTCTTACTGGTTTACAGTTTATTAGTTCACAACAAAAAAGTTTATGATTGAAATTTAATTTGTTAAATTATTCCTATTGAATATGAGAAGGGTTGTGCCCTTGGACAATAGACAGCTCTATGTCTATAAACGTCTATGCTCGTTTTAACTTTGATTAGGTTGGATTAGGTTGTGATCCGAATAACATGTTCAGTATTTATAATCAATATGTTATCAATTCGTTGTTGTTACCTGTCACAGAACCTTAAGATCAACTAAAACTAGTTTTTAAGCATTTTGTTACATGCTTTGTTACCTGCACAATGGCTGGAACTGTGACTGATAATGCAATCTTTGTTTTCAGACGTGAACAGCTGCATTTGTTTAGTGTGTACAGTTGTTGGAATTCTTTGGTAAACCAGACAAGGAAAGATGCACGGGACCAGGCTGCCATGGCTGATGTCTACCTCAACAATATCATTCCCAGATTTACCCAAGTCCAGGACGATGTACAGAGAATTTACAAAAGGGTAATTTTTTTATTTTACTATTTTGTGTCTCAAGTAAAAATAAGAATACTGAAGGAAGATTAAAACAACTGCATGCTGGATACACAGGTAAAAGCTGTCCTTCTGTAGATGAAAGATGGTCAAAATTGTCTTTGGACGCTCAAACCAGTGAACATAGAAAATGGTCAGTAGAGTGAATCTTATTGATCAAAATTGTTTTTGTTAGTACTGTACTGTACAATTATTAAAAACTATTATCTATGTGAAAAACAAGAGGGGGATTGTCCTTGAAAGACAGGTTCCTCAAAGGCTGCATTCTCTTTGCTAAAGGATTGGTCTTACTTATTCTGTTACCCAACAGAGAATTAATCATGCAAGTCCTCTTGGCTAGCAGAGTATTGATGATGCAAATCCTCTTGTCAACTTGGCCTAGCTAAAGCTATTCATATTAATTCAGTGATAGGCTACAGCACTTTCATAAAGTTTACTCAAACTTTTCAACACTCAAGATAAAGTGAGTAGTATAAAGAATGACCATACTGTATTAGCATGGAAGTTGAGGAACACTTGAGAAAGTACGTTACACCTGTCCCTAATGGATGCAAGTGAAACTTGCATACATCAGGGACTTGCAAACTTGAAATATATATATTGATCATTCTCTGTTAGATTATTCTCGAGTGATAATTTTATATTGAACATATCCTAGCAGCCATGGCATAGAACAAGATATAATTAATTTACATCCATTTCTCATTTTGTGCTTCTTTGATTTCTAAATTTTTTGGTATTACTGTACAGTATTGTCATTCATTAGTTGAATATATAACTTGTTTCCTGTACAGTATATAGTAATATCAACTTTGTATAGTATTTTTGCTGTCGGTAATTTGGCTTCCAAAACTTTTTCAGTGTCGAGAAATTGGGTACGAGAGTCATGAAGAGCTTTTGAAGGTATTGCATGAACTGCATACCACCATGCGCACGTACCACACATACCAAACAGAGTTTAAGAATGCAGAAACAAAGTTGCGTAACTTTGAGGCTCAGAGAAGTAAACTGGAGCAGGCTATACCCAAGGAGAAGCTGGAGAAGAGCAAGAAGTTTAGGGTCATTGAAAAGGAAATTCAGAAGGTAAGTTTTCAGTTTTTAATCATTATTTCTTCAATCTACAGTGCTTTAGTTTTGTTTCTGGCAAATTACTGTAGTAGATCTCATGTTTTGGCATTGACCACCATCAGGACACCAAAATCATGTTAGGCATTGTTATGACTTTTCCTACCCACTGAAGACAAGCACAGTATGATTAAAAACAAAAAACTCCATGATCTCATGGAGATCAGAGTTCCATAAAAGAAAACCGAGGCAATCCACCAACAATGACATAACAAACATTTAAAGATGGTCAAGCTTTCTCTGAAAAAGGTTTTACAACACTAAATCTCTTGAACAACTTTCTGAAAATAACTACACACTATACTGCTTAACTACCACAGCCATCACCAAATGGTGAATCTACTGATTAGAAAGTTGGGAGTTGCCCGAGACCATCTGGGATATACGTAGACACCAGAGATCTTTTAAAATGAGAAACCTAACCTTGCTATTCTTAAGGCAGTCTCACCTTTGCTACTACAGGAAAAGCCTGAAATTAAAAAAAAATAAGTTATGTGGAGTTGGTTCAGAACTTTGGTCCCTGAACTTTGAATAGATTTTTAAAATCATGCTTTGTATTGCCATTATATTAGACATGTTAAAAATGTATAAATGTAGCCCATGCTTGACCTGTTTGTTATTTTACAGCGGAGTAACAAATACATGGATGCTAAGCTGAAGGCTCTGAAGGCTCGAAATGAATATATTCTTTCTATGGATTCTGCTAATGCTGCCATTCATAAATACTTTGTGGAGGATCTCTCTGACATTGTTGATGTGAGTACTTGATGGACTATTTTGTAAACTTTAGAATTACTTTTGTGTTGGGCCATTATGACTTTGAGCTCTCATTGTCTTGTAATTATAATACTATATAAGTGACTGTTATCAAGTCACATGCCACGACTTGAGAAGGGGGATAAAAAAAAGGGTCCAATACAAACTAAAATGTTGTCAATTTGTTTTCATTTCGTATGTGAGAGTTGGTTATTTGTACAAGTAACATTTGATTTAGAAACTGCTCAGAGTTAAGCATTTTTTGTTAATTACTGATGGGGAAGCTATAGTGAGTTGATAACAATGGTTCAACTATGTTACGTTTTAGTATCCATGTACAGGTATAATGACACTTTTTTTTATAATAGAAAACATTTGTACAGTACACATAATTATATGTTATTCATCAAAACAGAAACCACACACAAAAAACAGTCGAACCACACTACCTGTATTGAAAGAAAAAGCAGTGTAAAAAATATAGGAGTAATCATGTCAGAAGACCTTACTTTTAAAGATCACAACAAAGTTACTGTTACAACTGCAAGAAAAATTACAGGAATAATAACAAGAACATTCCAAACAAGAGATGCCACACATATGATGATACTTTTTAAGACACTAATGCTCTCTTGAGTGGAATATTGTTGCACACTAACAGCTCTATTCAAGGCTGAAGAAATTGCTGTCCTGGAGAGCATGCAAAGATCGTTTACCTAATGAATCCACTATTAAACATCTAAATTATTGGGACTGCCTGAAAATGTTAAATCTGTATTTTCTAGAGCGCAGGTGGAAGAGAGATGTAATAATTTACACATGAAAAATATTGGAAGGACTGATCCCAAATCTGCACACAGAATTAAGGCCACATGAGACCAGAAGGCATAGCAGGATGTGCAAAATAGCTCCACTGAAGAGCAAAGGTGCAGTAGGCACACTGAGAGAGAACTTGATCAACATAACGACTCAAGACTTCAGCACTCTTTCCCTACACACATTGAGTATAACTGGCTGACCTCCCACAGTGTTCAAAAGAGAAGTCAACAAGCACCTTCAAAGATATCTTATCAACCAGGCTGTGACTCCAATGTCAGGCAGTCTCATCAAACAGCCCAGTGGATCAATTAGACTAGCAACCAGGAGGCCTGGTCAGAGACCTAGCCATGGGGACAATGATTCCCAGAATCTTCAATAGTTAGTCATAGTAAAGTACAAGTGGTTTGTCTGTTTAAATACATGGGATGTGTTATTGACCAGAGGAGCTTATGTAATCAGAGTGAGAGTAAGGAGAGTCAAGGAAGGAAAGTGGCTGGTTCATTGGAAGTCTGGTTTGAAAGAACTGATACATAAAAAATTTGGGAGTAATCATGTTGCTAAGCCTTACTTTTATAGAACTCAATAAAGTAGGTGTTACAACTGCAAGAAAAATGATAGGCTGGATAACGAAAACCTTTCAAATAAAGATGCCAAACCAATGATGGTACTTTTCAAGACACTAGTGCTCTCTAGGGTGGAATGTTATTGTATATTAACAGCACCATCCAAAGCTGGAGAAGTTGTTGACCTGGAGAAAGTGCAGTCATCTTTTACTGCTCAAGTCCATTCAGTAAGCCATCTAAATTATTGGGAACATTTATAGTTAATCAATCCATATTGTCTAGAGTGCAGGCAAAAGGGGTACATACCATATACTGTATCTGTGTTTGCAGTACAGTATCTTTTATCTGCATATATGATGCAATACAGTACCATATGAACACAGTAATGAATTGGTAAGCGATACTTTTATTTGCAGTTTTAACGTTCTGTAAGTATTATGTTTCATTAAACTATTGCCTCTTTTTCTCTTGGCTGATGATGCCTCCTCACACCATGAAAATTGGAAATGAGGTAATGATAAAATGTATGCATTTATGTATGTATTTCAATATTTTTCAGTGTATGGACTTTGGGTTTCACAGCAGTATAGCCAGAGCCCTTCTTACCCATGTCTCTGGGGAGGAGTGTCTACGAAGGAGCTTGCAGAGTGGTATTGATGAGCTCAATAAGTCTATAAACAACCTTGATTCCCGCTTGGACAAACAAAGGTTCCTAGAATTCAACAATGCAGCCTTCATGCTTCCTAAGAAATTTGAATTCCAAGGACACAAAGGGGACGAGGTGAGGAAGTGAAAAGTTGGGCTAGGTAGAAGAATATGTTTTGAGATTGAAATACAAAAAAGGATACCACATGACTTTACTATAGAAGTCATACCACTGGTACTAGGATGGCCTTAGAGAGTAGAACTCTTGAAACTTTACTGGTAAAAGATACCAGTAAGTTGTTATACCTCTAGTTACAAATAATCCCGGTTAGTTTCGCAAGTGCACTCTTAGTCACTTGTAACTTATTTTCCATTTATCTGTACCTCTTCAGTCATTTCAATGCTTCTTCCTATAATATGTATATATTTGTATCCTTTTATCTTATAGATAAAATATATTTTAAAAGTCTTGATTCATATGGTCCCACTAATATAATTAGTTTTGTATATTCTGTTCATAGGTCTGTATTTTATCGCTATTTTTTCTTATTCGCTCTATGGACTAGTATGTGGCAGGCACTGTTACCCCGCAGTGTCAGACTCATGAGGATTCCAATACAACACAGGTGAACCAGGTTGTGGTCAATAGACAAGTACAAGAGGAGATGGAAAAGCGCTATGCTCACCTTGTCTCCAGACTCACAAGCCTCAAAACAGAATCTGAAGAAACTTGGAAGACCATAGAGACAGCTGAAAAGACGTTGATGGAGATGATCAACCAGCGGGACTATGATTGTGCTCACTATTTCATTGATGAGCCTCGGCCTGACAACAAGCAACCAGAGTCGATGCTCATCAAAATGAAAGCTGACAGACAAGAAACAGAAGATTTTTATCTCAGTGTAAGTACTTATGTTGTACATATTTGTGTCTAGTATGCATAAGATAAATATTAACCCTTTGCTTAGTGAATTTCAAAACCTATTTACATACAGTACATCATAACTGAGCTTGATGAATGTACTGGTATTGAGAAATATGTACTGTATTTAATACGACTGTAGAAAATGTTATTATACTATGTATATAAACTCAACAGATAATTGTAACAATCAATTACATTAATAAACAAAATATATTTGTTTCAGTGACTTTGCTACATGACTTCAACTTGGTAATTCCCAAAGTTTGCCAGAATTATTAATAATTGCTTTATTCCTAAGTAATTTGTAATATTTTCCACATTAATTCTAACTATTAATCAAGGACTTTGAGTTTGATTCATACTGAGTAAGCAACGTTTGTTTCAAATTTGCTTTACCCCTCACTGCATTCGACTGGTGGGGCACATAGTGCCTAAAGGCAGTTTCAGGTATAGGGAATGATTCAAAACTCCTGTGGGTACGTGGGGCTTACATCCTGTGCCTCAGGACTCCAGTAAACAGAGGCCATCTTGAACAAAATTATGTGCATCCTCTCCCTGGCTGAGAGAGCCTCAGTACTGCCACAGCGACCAAGGCTGGCATATGCAGCAGGAGCTCACAGCACCACTGTGCAGCTGGGGGCCACAGCACTAGTTAATAATTATGAATAAATAAGTAACTGCAGTTATTTTGCGATGATAGTGTCATAGATGATCCTGACTGTGATTAGGACTATGTACAACATTAAGATATCAGTGAACACATTGCTAGTTATAAGGCTCACAGTGCAAAGCACACAATCGCAGCACTTGGACGTTGTTTCGTGCATCTATGCATCGTTGAAACGACCTCAGGCCCTTTTCAGTATAACCTTGTGGAAATGGATTCATATTTAGGATTTGACGACTACTTGGTACTAAGCCCATTTGATTTTCAAAGCATTCTTAATCATGCACACCTTGATGTAGTACTTTTAAATAGCTGCACAGTTTAGCAGTTAATCATAAATTGATTTTCTTTTTTTCTCCATATATTTGGTGAATATAGTAAATGAGATTTTATTTCCCTGTTGTTACTTTGCAGAAATTTCGTGAATACACTCTTGGAAGCAACCTGATCACTCGATTACAGGCTCGGTATGAACTTATGCGAAAGGCTCTTGGTGATGAAACACAAACCACCTCTTCTCCCACACCAACAAGGTTAGAAGTGTTTGTAAGGCTTGTTAATAAAATAACATTTTACTTGTCCAGTTGTGTGATAGTGAATACTGAATTCATCATCTGGTACACGCAAATTTTATATATGGTTTAAAATTTTGTTATTTTCATTGTTATGTGGACAATATAAGAATACAACTGTATAATGAAAATCATTTGGGAAAATAACATGCATGTACTAATTCAGAAATCTAGTGAACAAACCTCGGCGTCGTCGCATTGGGCGGAACCCTCTGATGGGTCAACCCAAATTATTTGGTGGATCACTAGAGGAGTACCTGGAAGCCACTGGACAGGATATACCACTCATAATGAAGTCCTGCATTAGGGTCATCAATCTATATGGTTGGTAGTAGTATTTTTGTATTTTTCAAGGTCTCAAAACAAGGCATGGCCTTTTAATAGGTTTCTCTCCACAATTTCTGAATAACCAATCTTTATTAATTTTGTTGCCCTTAGAGTAACACTGGTTTAGTACTGTCTCCTCATTACCATACAGCTGTTTGTGAATGCGAGACTGCTTATTAACATACCATTAATCAGTTACATTTTCCTTGCTAAACTTTGACATTAATTATGTTGTTTCACTTTGTTAATCAATGACATTAACAATGTTGTATCATTTTCTTAGCATATGTCGTGCATCAAACTGGCTGTAGTGAAAGTGAAAGATACTTTTCCATTTGTGGTTTCTGGAAAGGATGTTTGTAAATGAATATTCATTAGTCATCATTAATGCACAATGCAAGAATTTGTAATATGATGCAGCTGTAAATTTAAAAAGCAAATTAGGCTATAAAAAAGTTATTTAGAAAACTACTTTTCTCTCCAGGACTGCACCATCAAGGTATATTCAGAGTATCTGGCTCCCAGGTGGAAATAAACAACTTCCGTGAATCCTTTGAAAGGATGGAGGACCCTCTGGCAGATGTGACAGATGCTTCAGACATCAACAGCGTAGCAGGAGTTCTCAAGCTGTATCTGAGAGAACTCCGAGAGCCTCTCTTTCCCACCGTCTTCTTCGATCAGTTCATGGAAATTGCTCGTGAGTGTTGTTGTATGTAGTCGTGTTTGTCCCGGGGAAACATACATTTATGGATAGGTCTCAATTCTACATTGTTATTATTTCAGCCCAGCCTCCTAAGATGACAGTACTTACAGTAACTGGTACAAAAATATCAAGTACTTACAGAGGTACAAAAATATCAATATATAGTGATGGATCAGTACTTACAGTAACTGGTACAAAAATATCAAGTACTCACAGAGGTACAAAAATATCAATATATAGTGATGGATCACCCAAAAAGTTGAAGTTTGTATTACTGAATTTTGCCAAATGGGGAATTTTTTTAATGGCAACATAAATATAGAACCCAATATAACCTAACCTCTCCTAATAGTCCTATATGTAATACATGCTATCTTAGGCCTAATATACCACATATGTGTGCTGTACTAGGCCAAGGAATATTTGAAGTACAATAAGTGAATTATTTTAGTTTAGGGTGTAATTAGTTTTGTGAATATGATGGGACCGCGGCCCGGTCCTCGACCAGGCCTCCAGGATAGGTTGAATTTTTCTTTAAATTATGTAATCCTTGGTATTATAAACTATTACTAGTATTTTATGATGTGTGGGGGTGTGTGGTACACACTAAGCACATTCCAAATGTATGCCCCTCTTGAATAATACTGTGTAGGTTAAACTTTTATTATACAAAATCAATCAAACTCATCTTAAATTATTTTGAAATTCAAATTCAAGACCTTCATCTGATACTAATGCACTTTTCTACCATGAGGCTGTGTTTACTTTGTAATATATTTTCTAATTATTTTGTGCTAGCTAAATTAATTAATTTGATAATCAGATATCTGTTTTTTCATGTCCTTAAAGCACTGGAGAAGAAGCATGACTTTGTTGTGAAGATGAGGGATGTAGTGACAAGTCTTCCCCGACCGGTGTTTGTCGTCATGAGGTACCTCTTTGCATTCCTTAACCAGTAAGTATTGCAAAATACACATTGCTACTTAACAAGCTAATGAAGTTTGCAATTTTTATAAGGGTAAATATACACGTGAATATTTGGGCTTGTTTTCCTTGAATTTCGTTCAGGTGATAGAACTGGTAAGTAGGGAATGCACGGGTAGGATTAGGATATAAGAAGTCTTAAGCAGGAATTTGGATACAAGGTGGAGGTGGAGAGGTTCAGCGTAGTGGGCCAACCACTTTGGATTTTGTGGAGTGATTATGGTACTGTACTGTAAAATAAGTTGATGTGTGATGAGAGTTTTTATTGTGCGATGTATGATGACATGCACTGTGCTTGCATATATATATATATTTTTTTTTTTAAGTAAATTCATTACACAGGATGTTCCAGATCAAAAACTATACTGTTTGTTGTTATCATTTTTCTCCAGGTGTTCTACCCATTTAGTTTTAATTATTTTTTCCAACATTTTGACTACTACACTTGTAAATGATACAAGTCTATAGTTAAGGGGGTCTTCCCTGGTGCCACTTTTGTAGTTTGGAACTACGGTATATTAGCCTTTTTCCATGTTTTTGCCAGGATTCTTGTACACAGGGATGCCTGGAAAATCCATTGAAATGGAATGCTAAGCTCAGGTGCTCATTCTTTCAGAACCCAAAGGAAAACTCTGGGCCAACTTCTTTGTTCCTACTTAGCTCCTTGAGCATTTTTTCCACTTCGTCTCTAGCCACCTCTTTGTGCTCTGTTGTTTTCTGGAACTCTTATTGTGCCTTGTTCTCTGAAAATTTAATTTTGCACAAACACACCTTAGAATTGTTCATTTAATGTTTCACACATTTCTTTTTCATTTTCCGTGAATCTGTTTCTCATTTTTAGCCTCTAAATATTATCCTTTACCTGCAATTTGCTGTCAATGAATTTATAGAATAGGCCTGGTTCTGTTTTACATTTGTCCACTATCCTTTTCTCGATGCTTCTTTCTGCCTTTCTTCTCACTTCCATGTAGATTTGTGCTTCTTTGTATCCCTTGTATGTTTGAGGGTTTGGCCTTTTTCTATATCTATTCCATTTTTGTTTCTCTTGATCTCTGGATCTCTCACAATTTCTGTTGAACCAACACTGTTTCCTAGTTCTGCATCTTCTGTTATATTCTGAATTTTTAATTGGTAAATTTTTCAGCCTGTCTGAGTTCAGTGATGAAAACATGATGGATCCCTACAACCTTGCCATCTGCTTTGGTCCAACTCTGGTGCCGATACCTGAAGACAAAGATCAGGTAACCTTTTTATTATTTGTACAGAAACATTAAATGTCTCACTGCCTTAAGTGTTGGGAATACTTCTTGGGGATAAACTACCATTGTCCTTGATAAATTTACTTTTAATATTTGTGTACCCTGCTTATCTTTAAATTACCAATATTATTATGCATAGTAATGAGCTAGAGGTTAAAGGAACTTGTGGGTATATATGAATGGATGAATTAATATACTGTATTCCTAACAATATTACATTACAAATTTATCTTGCTATTATTGTAGCTAATGACCAAGTTAATCTTGGTAGACATGAGGTAATGTACTCAACTGTAAGTGTGCAGTCTCCCCACAGAGTACTTTAAAGTTCAAAGTCATTTTACTATCAATAAATGATCTGCTCCTCGTGATTAGTTGCAGTATATTTTAATACATTCATCATTACAGTATTTTGAATCTGTATCCAAATTTGGTTTGAAAATTTTGCTAAATTTAACCGATATATATTTTGCATATCATTTTATGTTAACTTATATACATAGAATTCAACTTCTGCCAATTTTTTAACTAGTTCCATGAGTACTTGGAAAATTACTAAGCATATAAGTGAGAAATAAGAAGTTTTGTTCCCATATCCAGCAATAAAACTCATTACAGGTCCAGTACCAGAATTTGGTTAACGAGTTGATCAAGAATATAATCATCTTCAGTGAGGACATCTTCCCCAGTGATGGTGGTCATACCTATGAGAAATACATCTCACGAGACTCTATAGACCTGGAAGCTGAAGTGGGAGATGCACCATCAGAGGCTCATGATGATGTTGACTCTGAACCAGGCCAGTCGGAGGATGGTAAGTTCGCGCTGTCTCATTAGGTCTCAGATTTTTGTGATATTGGAGCCGAAGCAAGCATGGTCATCACAGAAAATGTCTCATTTTTAGAGCAGTACTGATCTTGTTTGTGTACGCATCTAGTTGTACTCACCTAGTTGTGCTTGTGGGGGTTGAGCTTTGGCTCTTTGGTCCCGCTTCTTGACTGTCAATCAACTGGTGTACAGATTCCTGAGCCTATTGGGCTCTATTATCTCTAGATCTGAAACTGTGTATGGAGTCTACCTCCACCACATCACTGTGTAATGCATTCCATTTGTTAACTACCCTGACACTGAATTTTTTTTCTAATATCAACTTTCTAGTGTGTGTATAATTGTTAAATGTAAACTAATATTCCCATGTGTGTTTATACAAATGCTTTGCCTTTACACATATGTTTCTTATAGCTGATGCGTGTGAACTCTTGAGCCTCATTCTTACAATATACTGTACTGTCTATGCCACTCCTGTGGCACCACATCATTCCATAATATCATTCCTTGTTCTATTGAGCTCCTTACTACTGTATATACCTTACACCATTAAATATAAACAATTTGAGTAATATATAGTGGTAAGGAGATAAATAGAATAACAACATTTGTGACAAATTTCAATTTATTTTGTCCCTGAGTAGTAAGTGGTAGTTTGTAATTGCTTATTCCTCCAAAAGTATGGAAAATGGATATTATTCCCCTCAATCTTTGCTTTGACCTTTGCAACATTTTGCAATTGAGCATACAGGATTTACCATCTTCCTTAAAAGTGAATCAGTAAATTTACATAAACATGACGTTTCAGGTGTTTCTAGACATTTCAGGCTCTCTCCTTGTAATTGGAAACATTTACATAAAAAAAAAATCCCTTGTATTTTAATGTGTGTAGAGGAATTAGAATTTGTAATCATGTTTTTTGTTAGTACAGTACAGAACTGTAGTTGATACTGACTCATCATTGTTGGCATATCTTTGATTTTCTTTATTATCCTCATTTAGTTATGCATTTTTTGTTGTTGTCATGCTTGCTAATAAATCACCATATATGTTATAATTTGATTATTGTTTTCAGTTTTGTTTGACAACGGTGTACATTTTTTTTTTTTTTTTTTAATTTTTGTAACATGTCCTTGTGTTCCTTGTTCCATTTGTATTGCTTTAATAATTGGAATATCTCTTATGCTAAGTTTAACATTTCTTATCTTGCTCGTAGATGGTAAAACCTTGTCATCTCGGTAATTTGCAATATACTTCATGAAAACGAATTACTGAAATTATAAATGTGTGGCATCACAGGAGTCCATTAATTTGTCTGGTTTTAAAAATTAGTATTGTCATGATGTGTAGCAATACGTGTGAGTGTAATACACGGGTTTTGAGTGGTGGCACGTATGAGGAATTAACAGTTAGCTTCATTACAAAGGCAACATTTAGGTGCATCCCTTGTAGGTGTTGAGGGTAGGTACATATATTGCCCGAGAGGCTGTGTCTACTTGAGTCACCTCTTGTCCTGTTGGAATGGGCTGAAACATTGGTATGTCTTGACATTATTTTATATTATAGCGTTTAAAAATTAAGGTCAAATTTTTTGCATGAATATAAACGGCCTCTATTTTCAAGTGAGTTTTGGAACTATTTCTTGCAAAAAAAAGTTTAGACCTCAATTTAAAGACTTAACTTATTAGTTGGTTCTCACTTTAAAATCCCACATTTTAAATTCTATTCTTGCATTCAAGACTGCTTTTAACACGAACTTTTTAATGTTCAATAAATTCCCCTTAAAAATTACCATCAACAGCTTTACCTTTACAAAGCTGGATTGTATTTCTTTGAAGACTTGGTAAGGAGAAAAGTTGTTCTTGTATAAAGCAGCTAGGGTTTGTATAGAAAGTGAAGTGCTGCAAGTACAGTGGAGCCTTGATTAACGAATTTAATCCGTTCTGGCATCGAGCTCGTCTTGCGAAACTAATTTCCCTATTTAAAATAATGGAAATAAAATTAATCCGTTCAACCCCCCAAAAAACATCAATATGACATTTTATAATGTAACTATAATACATGTAATTATTATAAATGTTGTGTTTTACAATTTTCATTTAAACTTGAAAAGTACAATGGAATTTGTCCGAGAATTTGTGAGAACCGCGCCACGTGGTTTGCTCGTTAATCGAGACAAATTGTCCACGAGTGACTCGCTCGTTACCTGAAATGCTCGTAGATGGAGACGCTCCCCACTCGAGGTTCCACTGTATTGTCTGTAATGTCTGTCTTAGCCTCGCTCTTGAATGGTGACTGGTGAACTAGCTCTTCAACGTTGCAACGTGGAATTGCCATTTGCAATACAGTACTGCAATTTGTTTTTTTACTATGTACTGGAAATTGACACATTTATAGTAACTTAATTATGTATTATTTAAAGTATTTGAAGAATTGGCAAGCCTTCCTCATATCTCCTAGTTCTAGTTATGTAGAGTAGGTTAATGTTAGAATGGGGCTAGCTGCCTGTTATTGTTTCCTTGACCTCAGTAATGGTAATGCATTAAATTTGTTTATCCTGTATTGCTCAGCTTTACACACTGGCTCTCCCAAATCTACCATGCACACACACAATCTCCCTATATGAAGGAAAGAGTAAACAATTATGGTAAAGTTATTACTGGTCTGTGATCAAATTTGAGTCTTTTGTCACATACTGTACAGATACTTATTTGTATGGTAGATTTAGAGGGAAAATGCATGGATCTGTTGAGTGTGTGCCAAACAGTTATAATGCATTACCCGCATTCCGTTTGTGTCCGTTATCAACGCCATTATGGGTAAAATAAATATCTGTGGACAGGATCCATTCATGTCCATATGGACTAAAAATAATTTCTTGCTAGTATTTTATTAATAATTTGTAAGTATATTTTGTTTACAAAATTGACTTTTAGAAGATTGGAAAAGGCAAGTCTTTATCTAATATCCATCGGGAATATTTCAACTGAACTATTTATGTAGGCAATTTTTGTTGATTATTCTTAAAAATACATGTTTAAAAAAGGAAGTTTTTGTCAAAACAAGAATTGCCATTTATGTCCTTGCATTGAGTAATTGTAGTGACGATTGCCTTGATGGTGGTGGACTATGGGGACTGAGGTCGTGGTGACTTACAGTGAGGTGGTAACAACGTGGTGACCACTTGGGTGAAGGTAACTAGTGAGGGGCGGTGGGAGACCTCTGTTGTAACCACCAACCCCACTTTGGCCATTTTGAGGGCAATAAAAGATGTGGCTTATATTTATGCAAATAGTGTTGAACTTGACATATTGGAAATTAGGCACTAATGTGAGCTAAAGATTAGAATTATCAAAACTTTTGCGGACTACACCAGTCTAATTGAATTACAAAATAGATTTTAGTTTAATGTACGGAAGTTTTTGAACGTGATCCTCTCAGCTCGGGCCATATTATTACCCATCAAGTTGTGCACATTTAGTGGCACTTAAATACTTAAGTGCCACTTTGTGCAAATATTTGTCTTGATTTGCTTACGTGTTTCCTTCATGCCACATCGTTTAAAATTTCAGTGAAATGTGATGGAATTTAATTACTGTTTTATTTTAAAATATTTCAAGGTTTTACTTTTCTGTGTCATCAATAGTAAATCTATTAACTTTTAGTTTTTCTGCCAGTGAACTCTCACCTCCATTTTGTATGCACGTCTCTTGATTGTCTCTGTGGCTCTCCTTGCAGATTCAGTATTTAGAGACAAAGACATAACGCTTCAGATATTTGGAAGTAAGTTGACCATATTTGTATTTCTTCTTATTAGCACGAGTTAATTTATTAGTTTTATTCCCAAGTTATTTTATATTTTGCAGACTGAAGATCATGGGGCAATGTATTCTGGAGCATTTTGATTACTGAAGCATCTGGTTCACCTCTGTAGATTATGATGGGTTGTTTACTGAGATAAGCACCAATTTGTACAGTAGTTATCCTGTATCTTATGTCATTTTGTTACACAGATTACAGTGAAACATGTAGAAAGTTTTTTCGGTACTATTCAGTGGCTTATTGTCCTTGCTAGCTCATGTGGTCGGTAATTAAGCAGGAGCTAGATTCACGAAGCAGTTACGCAAGCACTTACGAACATGTACATCTTTTCTCAATCTTTGGCGGCTTTGTTTACAATTATTAAACAGTTAACGAGCTCCGAAACACCAGGAGGCTGTTTATAACAATAACAACAACAACAGGTGATTGGGAAGTTTTCATGCTTGTAAGCTGTTTTATAAATGTAACCAAAGCCGTCAAATATTGAGGAAAGATGAGCACGTTCGTAAGTACTTGCGTAACTGCTTCGTGAATCTGGCCCCCAGGAGCATATCAAACATTTCCCATTACTTTTTGAAGGTACTGTAGTTTGGCTACAGAGTAAAAATTGTTCACATCTGATTTCTGATCCCCCAAGCTCCTCTTACCTTGTAGATAGAGCCAGGTTCTGGTCCCGGCTCCTGGAGGATCAAAGTGGATCTCGGAGGCCCAGCACCGTAGGCTTTAACAGTAACAGTGCATGAGCACAGAGGTGCTACTGAGGAGCGGGCCTTCCTAGAAATGATCTAAATGTGTTCATGCAGAGTTGGCCCAGATTTTTATCCCATATGTTAATTTATGAAATATTTGGTCCATCCTCTCTATTTTGATCAAATGTTCCAGTATCAAAACACTTCAACATTTTTATGTCTGCTTTTTTGCATTTTGAACTTAGAGGTCACTGGACTGTGTATGAAAAGCTTATTTCATAGGAGGACATTTAGTTGTATATATTGGTGATACGATAAAGGGTCTCATACACATTCAGGACTGGCCAATAATATCCACACTTACACAGAATTATATTTTCACATGATCTTTCTGGGTCATACAGTTGCAAGGAAGATAGTTGAACATACTTAGTCTAGCCTGGAATGCTTCCAGAGGGGTGAGTCAGATCAATTTAATGACCTTCCAAGTGCTACTTGACATTACAGAAACTGCCAAACAGGCACTCCTGTTATCAACTGCTGTACTAGTAAATGAACAAAGCCACAAGGGCCGTGATGAGGGTTCGAACCTACGCACGGAATGTTCCCAGATGCGCCTTAGTCAACTGTGCCAGTACTGTGTCAACGGTACTAGTAATTTGCCTGTCTGGCCATTACCCCCAACCCACTACAGCTTGGCAGCACTGAGACTTAAACACAGTTCCTTAATCTTTGGCATCTCACATTTGACTTAACATGAACCTCTTAAAAAGTACAGAGTAAGCAGGGAGGGAATGGGAGCAACCAGTTGTCCTGCTCAGAAACAATCTTTCATTTGCCGTATGTTCAGAGCCTGACTTCTGAGCCTTGCCACTGGCATTCTTTTTTCTAAAGGAAAAAACAGGATACTGTTTTCTACGAGGACAGGATCAGAGCTGGGATTCGAGGACAGGATAAGAGCTGGGATACGAGGACAGGATAAGAGCTGGGATACGGGGACAGGATAAGAGCTGGGATACGGGGACAGGATAAGAGCTGGGATACGGGGACAGGATAAGAGCTGGGATACGGGGACAGGATAAGAGCTGGGATACGGGGACAGGATAAGAGCTGGGATACGGGAACAGGATAAGAGCTGAGATTCGAGGACAGGATAAGAGCTGGGATACGGGGACAGGATAAGAGCCGCAATTCGAGGAAAGGTACCCAGTCACTTGGATCATCAGAGATTGAATACAATAAAGTCATAGCTATACTGTCCAGTCCATATGGTTGGACAGCTACATCAAAAATGTAAACCAGCCATATACTATGTTTTCTTCCAAATTGGGCCCATTGACTTTTTTCACACTATAAACTGCTGTTGGTAAATAGTCTTCTGGGCTTCACACCTTGTGATAATTACTTGCACCCCCACCTGTTTTCTTATACTAAGATTTTCTGTTACATTTTGTTCTTAACCCTTGAAAAGCAAACTGTGAAGAGATAAGAGTGAATACTCGGAACTCTTCACTCTCAAAATTATAATTAGCAATATTGTCTTTTCCAATTTTGTCCCGTGGATGTTTTCCCATTTGCCAATTTTCTTCTATCACAAAGTGAGCCAGATGCTGGTCCTTGCTGCAGGAGGTGAGAAATGAATCTGGGAGGCTTGGTTGCAGGGGGACTAAGACTGGGTGGTGCCAGTGTGTAAACTTGGGAAGACACTCGTGGGCCCTCCAGAAAGAGGCGTTACATTACATTTAATGCACAAGTTTTCTGATACTGTATACAAATTTTTTACGGGAGTGCTGGTGAGCAGAATTGGTTCATTGTTTGCAAGGAACCATTATATGGAAGCCCAGATTTTGAAAGCTGCATTGTATTGTGAATGATATAATGTATAAAAAATACATTATATAATGAATGTTTATATAATTTAATATTGATAACCACCACCTGTGGTGCCTCCCCACCACATGAAAGTGGGAAACAGAGAAACTATAATTTTTTATGTATGATTATTTTTTGATGAACTGAAAAAAGAATATTAAATATGGAATGTCTTGTATATTCTGTACTGAGTATTTATTCTAATAATTATGACTTCTATTGAATTCTCAAAACAAATAATGCTTTTAATTAACTTTTACCTTAGAGTGTATGATATTAGTTAAAATCAGTAAGGTAGCACATTTTTTGCAGTTTTTACTTTTCCAAATATTTCCTCTGGGCTGGGCTTAATTAATCTTGCTGTAGTAATAGATTAGCATCATAAAATTCTTGTTATTCATTATACTAAAGATACAGTAATGATGGATATCATAATAATAAAAATAATTGAGCTATCGTGGACCGATTTTTCAAAGAAATTCAGTGTCCGTTTAATTTTTTTGTCCACCAGAAAGTGAAATCCTGGAAGCCATTGCACAGTTTGACTTCCTGGCTCGCTCGGAACGTGAGCTGAGCTTCAACAAGGGAGACGTTTTGGTCCTTCATTCTCAGGTGTCCAGTGATTGGTGGAGAGGCTCGTTTCAAGGCAAGCAGGGCCTCATACCGGACAAATATATCCTTCTCAAGATCAGGTTTGTTTGTTGTTCATTTATTAGAAAAGCATATTTATTTTTTTTTACTTAATCATGATTAGTAATTCACTAATTCTAATATTTATCATCATTAATTATAATAGCAATCAGTAGTTATGATCAATAGTAATTATCATTAATAATAATAGTAATAATAATAATAATACTGTACTAATATTAATAATTAATACTAATATTAATAATAATTGAGACTGTTTAGGCCTGTATATTATAAAGTACACCAATACACTGTACTTGCATAATAATGATAATACTGGACATAGATGAATATGTGTGTACAGTATATTCATTATGTATGTCCAATACTGATGACCAAACCACCCATCGAAAGATGAAGAAAGGATGATGTTTTGTTCCGTCATCAGTCGTGTTGCATCTTGCATCATGTTGTGCGTTGCGTACCTGGTCATCCTCCCTAGGAAGAACATTATGGTTCTGATGACTGAGGCAGCTGAAGTTTCCTCTCTATCCCCTTGTAGGGATAGCTCGATATGTTACCAACAGTAGGACAATGGGTAATGGGTAGGGGCACTAGAGAGATGGTCAGCGGGCTGTGGCAATCACCACTTGGACGAGTACAGTGCTTGTCTCTCTTTCTTGGAAGAAATGTGGATATCTGCTATGACATGTGCCATGTCTAAATGCCTTAGGGAACAAATCTCTCCAAGCAATAGGTGGGTTGATTGGAGAATGGTAGTGGTGTGAGATGTCAGAACATTTGAACTTTTCAGACTCTGTGGCAAGAAAAACTGCCTAAAACTATGGAAAACGACTCCCTCATTTCAAATTTCGTGAAAATTGCAATGATCACCATACCAGCTGATATTTCTTAAATTTAGAGGTTGAATATCTGGGAGTGGTTGGAGGATGTGTCGTGGGAGTGTGTGGTTTACGTGGTTATTCAGTCAAAGTAGCAGGTCGCTGGCAGGTTGGTACAGCTGGGGATTTCTTACTCTTAATGCTGGTTGTTGGGTTTTATGGCAACTTAGCCTGGGGAGTGACTTGGGTAAGACGTGCTAAGTAGTTATTTCGGAGTTTATCCCGCATCAGTTCAAACAATTTGTATACACCAATGGTAACTATGTTAGGGTGGCTGTCATTGTCTGTAGATGTGGATGAGGTGTGTTTTGGGTCAGCCTCGGGGGATGGGTTGGTAAATTTACTTGTGTAAAGAATTTAGTTAGGAGTCGGTCCAGCGTCTTTTCTAGTGCATTTTCAATGGGAGTGACAAGTGTTTCAACAAGATCGGGAGTTAATTGTACGTTTTGTGGGAAAGGATTGGCCATTGGGGTTACATGAATGTCAGTGACAGCCATATCAGGTACAAGCAAAAGTTGTGGTCGAGTGTGAGGTAATGGTTGATGATGGAGTGAGTTGGGTAAATTCTTATCTTTAACAAGTACATAATGTTATTCCCTTAGTATTGGAGTGCACGTGTTTCTTTGAGTAACTTTAGAACCATTGACAGAGATGAAGACAAGGATCGTCTCAGTGACCGTGGTGCTGCTGAAGTGTTACGGAGACGTGCATCCTCGTCCTCGGAGAGCATTCTGTCATCTTCCACTCAACAATCCTCTGAAGGAGTAGCTAGGCCAACCTCTCATAATGGGGCAGCCCAAGCACCCCTCTCACCATCTCCAGCATCAATGCAAAGCCAAGTACGATAAAAGAATTACATTTTGGTAAAATTTAATAATGAGTAATTTCTGATGCTGAATTTAACACAGCTTGCATCTGTTGCCAGTTAATTAATGCAGTTATGCTTTCTATTCATTTGCTTAATTAAGACTGGCCAGGCTTGTGCATGATCAGTAGCTGCAGGTCAAAAGGAAAACCGTGATAATAAAAGTTACATATTGCCTTAATGGCATATACATGATAAAGTTGGAGTTCATGCCTTCCTATCTTTTCGTGTGTATGACATTATGAGCTGTTGAATCCATCAATACTATTATTATCACCCTAGGACTCGTGTGCCAGCCCAGTGAGTCGTGATGGCCTTGGAGGAGCCTCGTCCTCGCTAGGGCTAGACTCTGGCGGGGTATCGGACGGGGCACAAGCAGACGGGGCACGCCCAACCTCACCGCTGCCGAGCACCCCAGGGCAGGCCTCCCACTCCCCCACCCCCCCACACTCCCTTCAACACGGGGCTTGTCTCTCCCTCTCAGATGTGTCGAGTATCGTGTCTGTCCAGGAGGAGGTAACAGCATAGTTGGTGTGTTGGGCAGTTTTATTGAGTTCTTTGGGTTTTTATTTGATTTAGTTACTATTGCTGGGTTATAGATTTTTGGAGGACACCATGTTATGGAGAGCACAGTGCATTCATATTTCCAGGACCTAGAAATGCTTCTGGTTGCTGGTTAGATTTAACACAGTGCATTTCATCATGGTATGTGTAGAGTTGGTCACTCTGCTATCTGTAGACCTCAGACTGCTAACCCATTTTTGCCCTTAAAAATAAAACCCCACTTGATGGGGAACTGCTAACTTTAGATGCCTGTCTTTTGGCTTTTTCAGAAAATAAGATCAAACTTTGTGTCATCTAAAGTGTAGCTTGACTGATAATCATACTATTTTTAATGTTTTTGTGATTAAATCACTTTAATTTTGCTGAGTTCCTTTAATACGTACTAAATTCTTCTTGAGTTGCAATGCGTAATGGTTGGAAAACATGTCAAATAATATAAATAAAGATTTTGTTGTTTTATATTAACAGTATTTTTGTTTGTTTCTTTAGAGGTTTACTGAAAGGGCTGTCATGTAATTAAGTTAAGTTTAATTTGATTACTTTTATTTATTTTTATGTTTGTGAAGTCAAAAAGGTTAAGTCATAATTTGGGCATATTGGCAGTACATAGCCAGACCTGACCAGACTTGTGGTTGTCAGACTTGATTATGAATGCCAGAACACTCTTTGGTACTAGCCTTGCATCGCCTACATCAAATTCAGGCTGGATGTGCTTGTGTAAATTTGGATTGCATTTTTTATATATATAAATTTATCTTTTTATCTTATTTTTTTTTTGTAAAGTGTGAGAGGAGAGCTTGTATTGAAATACCAAAGTTGGTTCTGGAATTCCTCCCTTGAAAGTACTTCACCAAGGCTGATTTTCTCCTCTTAAGACCAGCAGAAAGAGCCTTTATCCATTTCCCCCTTGTAAGGATGACAATCACAGGACTCTTCAGTAGTTCACTGGAATGAGCCCCATGCTGTGTTAACTTGTAGCCTCCCTCCTGTGAAGCATGCACGTCTTAGCTTAACTAGATGGCTCCTGTGAACACCAGACACTACTCTTTACCCACACCTCAAGACCCTTTACCATTCTAAGTGTGTGATTTGGATATATATTTTGCATACACATGGCTTCAACTATGGCCTTTACCCCATGTAGACAAGGTAGTGTTTCACCCAGCATTTGCTTGATAAGGTAGTTTTCCAGATTTCCCCTCGGTAGCTTCTACCCAAATACATGGCAAACCATTAAGTTGAAACAGTTTGATGATCTAATATTTGTGAAAGCTCGTATTGTTTCTCCCCTATTCTCTCTCTTCCCCTCTCTTCTCCTTCTCATACCTTCTAAATTTTTTTTCTCTCTTCTCTCTCTCTCTCTCTCTCTGTCTCATAACTTTTTATTTTTTACTTTATTATATCTATTCTTTCTTCTCATGTATATTTTTCTAGTCATTATTCTTACTTTATTCTTTGTTTTTATTATCTATTTCTCTTCTCATTGAGTTTTTATTTTTATACATAATAGCTTCACCTGTGACTTCAATTTTGGTTACCATTGAGACCAAGCTTGGACGTGATCCATGTAAACAAGTAGCGAACCAGAACAGGCATCCGTTCATACACAGTCGAGCCCCAATGATGGACTGCCCTTTTTTAAAAGCCACTCAATTTTTACGGGAAAAAATTTCTTTGAATATCACTGTACAGTATTTTTATAAACTATTTTGGCCCATTTTAAACCCTCGTTTAAATCTGTTTAATTGTAAAGTGATTGGTGGATTGTGTTCTGGTAAAAAATAAAAGTGTTAGATAGTGGATACTCCTTATATATAGTCTACTAAAAAGTAGCATAGTGGATACAACATGTCTTTGGTCTTCTCAACAGTAGCCCATTCTCAATCTTGAGAAATGTGGCTATTCTGTATGAAGTAATCTTCATATTCTTGTCTGGGGTATTCTTGAAGGCAGATATAAAGATTTAGCTGTATGAGGTAATGTAATCTTCAGATTCTTGTCTGGGGCATTCTTGAAGGCAGTTATAAAATCGGCATTAATAATGTTATATTTTTATTAGGCAAGTGGAAAGTCTAATTTCGTGCCATTGAAATTTATTTTAAGTTTGGCATTGAAATCACATGAAAGATTTTAAGGTATATTTTGACCTTTATTTATGAAGAGAAAAATACTACGAACAGACTAGTTTGCTCCTCTAGAGAGTGAATTGTATGCTTTGACTTTGTGGATTGTTATTAAATGCAGTTAAGAGCTTGTATGCAGGTAATTTATGGGGTCATTTAGTTCAAATGCTTGGGGGGGGGGTGAATGACAAGAAGAGTTCTGGTAAAGTTGAGAGCAGAGCAATTCAGGTGAGAAACGTGGCTGGCGTAATGAAGGCCTCGGTTTGGAACAATTAGAAGAACGCAACTCGAGTACTGTATGGATGATTGGTTGTGCCTTCCTTCATGTACCAGTGAGAGATATTGATGTGACATAAATATGAAAAATCAAGAGTAGAGAAGGGGAAGTACACAATTTTAGATGCGTTTATTGTGTTAAGAGCAAATTTTGGGGGGAAATTGTTAGGGAAGATTTAGTGTGCCAAAGTCAGTAAATTTTAAGCTTGAGGAGTGTTGAAATTGTTTGGCCATATAGTAGAAATAAGTGATAATAGTTTGAGTGAATTTATGGGTGGAAAGGAATGGTGAGAGAAAGAAAGGGGTAAGTGAGAATTAAGTGTTTCCAGCTTGTGAGAAATGGTAGGGAATAAAGCTAGATGAAATCATTAATTAAAAGGGAGTGAATGTTTAACATGTTAGACATAATTGAATTATAAAGTTTTTACACTTAATTCTGTGAGGTGCTGGGGTGGTACTGCTATGAATGTTTTGCAGGAGTTTAATGGTGCTGGTTCTATGTATAGAGTAGATGTGGCATTTTTATTTTGTTGGGGGGGGGGGGGGGACAAAGTGTCTTTTAAACATTTTCCTATACCTGTATAGCATTCCTATTTCTTCAGTGCTGAGTCTCCCCCCACTCCGTGAAAGTGGGAAGTTGGTAATGATGATGATTAAGTTCACATTCTTGAACTGGATAACCTACTGGTAAGCTAAATAGGCATTACAGTATATTATTAGTGCACTTTCTGCACTATGAAGTGTTTTTGGGGTATCCAGGAGTAAGGTCTTTGTTTTTTTGGTTTTGTTTTGTTTTTCATACTAGCTTGTTTTTGCTTTGTAAATACTGTACAGCACAGTGGATCCTTGATTTCCCGAGTTAATTGCCATCACATTCTATTAGTTGCATCTGAATATCCATTTGAATAGAATTTTCTTTGGTATTACTAATTTTGGACTGCTGAAATGATTAAATCAATGACAAAAATCAATACAGTATTTATGTACTATACTGATGCCAAAATCACATGCAAACAGTGAAATTTTAATAAAAAAATTGTTAAAGAATTTGGATTAGTGAGCCTGATATATTAGATATCTATAGCAGTATAGTACAAGTTACCATATCTGGTGTTGAATTTTATATGTCGAGTCCAGGTGTCTGTAGCATCAAGGTCCGATCAACACGAACTCGGTTTCTTCATAGTAATGGAATGATGATGATAAAGGATACTGTTTAACATACTTAAAATCGTAAGTCAGATCTATATTAAAGTACTCATTACAAATACGGTATTCTTGTTAACAATCTTGTCTAATGTTATTAGAAAAGCTTCAAGACAGGGCTGTGCATCTAGTAAGCTGCACAGTCAATACTTATAAATAAATATAAATAAATAAATAAAACTTGACTCAAATAAATAAACTTGACTCAATGCTGTGCATCCACTCTCTCCAACATGTAAGAGAGATGGCTAGTTTGTGTGAAACTAGCCATCTCTTATTATTACAACCAGTGATAATGTGGGTATGTTGAAACCAGTCGTAGAGTATGCCACCCCATCATGAAGCCCCCACCTGAAGAAACACACAAGGAAATTGGGAAAGGTTTAGATGTTTGTGACGAGGCTCGTCCCGGAGTTGCAAGGGATGGGGTATGAATAGCGACTGAAGGACCTGAACATGACACTAGGGAAAAGAAAAAGGAGGGAGTGGAGAGACATGATAGAAACAAAATATTTAGAGGGATTGACAGAATGGAAATAGGTGAAATGTTCACACTGAATACCAACAGAAAAGGAAACATGGGTGGAAGCTGGACTCTGAGTCATTGAGATGTTAGAAAGTTTTCATTCAGCATAAGAGTAGTGGGAAAATGGAATGAACTAAAGGAGCAGGTTGTGGAAGCAAACTTTATTCATAATTTTAAAACTAGATATGATAGGGAAGTAGGACAGGAGTCATTGCCTTAAACAACTGACAGCTAGAAAGGCAGGATCTAATAGCTAATGCTCAATGCAGGCACAAATAGGTGAATACATATTTGTGTCATTAATATGCACACAATATTATATTCTTTGAACAATAAAATGTAAAGTTTTTGCTGTTATTACACTATATACATTCACCTCATATATATCTATCTACATTTTTATGCAGCATAACAAACTGCTAAGCAGTTGGTCAGTGTAAAATGAAGTCAGAGTACAGTGTAGTGACACAGATTATCAGCAGACGGTGCTAGCTAATGCAGCAAAATGCCTCCAATATGCTATACACATTGCTAAATCTAGCCACCACTACTTTTATTATTAGATTCCCATCAATAAATCATGAATATGAATCATTTTCTAAAAGTATATATTCTAAGGGATCATGGGCACATTTCTTCATGCATAGAGGCACGAAATCGTGGCTATGTGCTGTGAATGTCTGCCTTCCACTGTGAACCTTATAACCAGTAGTGTGTTCTCATATTTAAGTCTTGTACATAGACTTTATCAGTCAGAATCTTCTATGAGACTATCAGTGCAAAATAACCACAAGTTATTTATTTCGTCCATATTAAGTGAT